AGGTTCCACAGCACTTGTCCCATACTGATGGACAGTGACTCCCTGCTCTGTTCTCTCCCTTCCACAGCTGTGGGCCACCTCAGGGCACACTCGGGACGCAGTCGCTACTCCATCATCGCAGTCCTCAGCTGCTGACGCCTGAGACCTGGTGGCCGACTCATTGCTGCAACACTAGTGAGGCTAGCCCTCTGCTGCCAGCACTGGGAGCCGAGGCACTGCAGTGTGAGGTGGCTGGGGTCCTGAGTCTCAGTATCAGGGTTGTCCTAGGATGGGGGACAGTTATTCCACTTCCTACTCTGACCCACAGACTGGCCTGCATGCCATGCCTGGAAGCCCAGTTCTCTCTGGGTTCGGAGGCTGTCCTACCCCTGGCCCACTCCACTCAGGTGAGTTCAGAGTGGGTGACTGACAGCCTGCTGGCTAGGTGATGCACGAATGAATGCAAAACCATCATCTCCCTTCATTATGAAGAGGTGTGAGCCTCTGTATCTCTCTTTTCAGACAAGCCGGCCTGACCTCCCACTTGCCACTTGGACACCTGATTTCACTGGGTGCTTTTTAGCTCTGCTCAGTCACCCCCAGGAACATGATGCTGAAGATGGTTGGCTGGATGTTGGGGCATAAGAACGAGGAGGGCTTCAAGAGGTCAGAGTCCTCCTACGAAAGGATCCAGGACAATCACCAAGTAGAGCTGCCAGCCAGGGAGGGGTGTCATGCCCGGGGCAAATGGCTCTATGTACTTCAAGAAGTCCGAGAACTTTCCTGAGTGTTAAGGCCAAACACAGAGGCAAAGTACTCGGTAAAAGTGCAAAGAATGCAGTAAGCAATTTTACAGCCCTAGAGGGCATCCATACATCAAAGTTAGTTCAGTACCATGTTCACAACAAGTACCTGTGTCAGGGAGAACAGGTTAAATATTATTTACCACATTCTGTCAACAGGCTGCCAAGAACAAACACGTTTTAGAAGCATTTCTCTAAACAATGCAAATTTTCACACAGATGTCAGAGCTTAAAGAAATACATTTCAGTTGTCCAAACAACAGGGGCCATCTTATCCCTGAAGATAGCAGAGAGTTAAGTCATCTGACAAGGCGAACAAATTTGCTTAGAGTGAATGGGATTGGGGACTTTGGGAGTGCCTGGGTACATAAAGGTCTTTTTGTTTTGTTTTGCTTTGCTTTTGGTGATACAGGGGATTGAATACAGGGCCCTGCACATGCTAGGTAAGTGCCCTACCACTGAGCTGTATCTCCAGCTTTACGTAAGGGTCTTAAAGTAAGTTCTGGTGACTGAAGCAGCACTCAGGCACTAATATTACCTTGATGACATCACTCACCCTGAGCTACCTGGCTCCAATCCACATGAACTCCACTTCCAAAATTAAAGTGGGCTGGCTAGATTTCTGATTGGAACAGAACTCTCCTATTACTTTGAGTGACTGTTGAGATTTAAAATCCCCTCCAAAAGCTTCATGTGGAAGGCAACTGGATCATAGAGCTCTATGCTCATCAGTAGATTTGGCCACTGATGAGTTCATGGCGAGGGTGCCATTACCAGGTAGGGCCTGGTTGGGGTGGCTCCCTGGGGGTGTGACCTGGAAGGGTATATTTTTGTCACCTATTCTTCCCATCTCTCTGCTTCCTGTCAGTCATAGGTCGAGCACCTTCCCTTCACCAGGCCCCTCTGCCACTTTGTTCCTGCCTTTGAATCAGCTGATCACAGACTGAAACCATAAGCCAAAATCAGTTACAGGTGTCAGGTACTTTGTTCAAGTGACTAGGAGGCCATCCAGTGCCTGATCTGTGGTCTAATTTTCATGGCCCCAGTCTTACTCCTTTATTTAGTTTTTGGTGTCTTCTGTTTGAACATCTGGTGGCCAGCTCTGGCTCTGTCCCACAATTCTATCCCCTGACTCCCAGATCAACTCTAATATTTGCCTATGGCCATTTGGGAACTGAATCTTTCCTCTATACATCTGGTCTCCCGATTTCACCCTTTGCCAGGCCAAGACAGAAAGTTAAGCTGAATGCTTACAATAATAAAATATGTTACACTGGGCTTTGCTAGAGCTATTTTATACATAACTCTAAATGTATCTGTCTTGTTTGAATTAGGCTCCTTGGTATAGTGAACTTTCTGACTTTTCTCTGTCAGGAAATAATATATATTAGCATCAGATGTTCACACCCAATGAGTAACATGGTACAGTTCCTGGCTGGCTATATTCATTCATGAACAGAAGCCCTATAAGTCAGATGCAAATAAAGACAGATAGTTAATTTCCCTGTGGGACCTGACTAGGCAGTGTGGAAGTTCTCAGATGTTAATAAGCAAAGTTACCTAGGAAGCACGAAGATTATGGCTACCAACCCTAGAATGTCTAATTCAGTGACCTAGACTCAGGATTCTGCGCTTTTAACAAAAATCTTAGGCAAATTTTGATGTGTTAGTCCTCTGACCACTCTTTTGCGAACACAATCTTCCAGCCCTGGGAAGTCTGCCCCACACAGAAGACAAACACAGGAAATACAGGGCCCCAGCTCTTTCAAGGTCATGACTGACCTTGCCTAGGGTAGATTATCTGGTGGGTCCTTTCCTAACACTCTTACTATTGAACATCAGCTTAATTCCAAGATGAATTTAAAAAAGACAATGTCAATCTTCCAAGCTTCCAAAGGAAAACATTTTAATATTGCTTGGGAATAAAATAGGAATCCTAAGTTATATTTTTCTCTCAACTAAGGAAGAAATGCTATGATTAAAGCACAGTATGTAAGTGACATTCTACTGTCCTTCATGGAATGTCTATGAAGGTCTTGATGATTTTGCCCAAATTAAGCAAGTAAAACATTTAAACTGATCGCAGCACTGCTACTTTAATCCAGAGAACCTTCACATGAGTTCTCCAGCAATACGCATGTCATCAGTGAGGAATATCTGTACCTAAATGTTTGGGACCCACAGGAGCCCCCAAACCACAGCAGGGTCCAGAAACACAGAGAACTGTATTTCACTGGGTAGGCCAAGTTTCCCTGGGAACTCCCCCAACCAAAACTGAAGTGGGACCTCAGGAAAACTGGTTTAATTAGGAGAATTCTGATGGGGACAGGATGCTTTTGGAATCTAAGACGACAGAAGATACTGATGAGCTGTTAGATCCAGGAGGCCTGTCTGATATTTGAGCTAATGGAGTCTCCATTTGTTTCAGGACGATGCCTTCATGTCTGCACCAATGTGGTTTATGGCTTGCAGGGGATATATGGACTGACGGATGCAACTATTAAGGATGCTAGGGCCCCATTCTTACTGTTATTGCGACATGTGCGTGTGTTTGTTTTTTCCTAGGAGGACCTTTATTTTTTCTCCCAAATCTCATAACTGGTTATGCAGATGTTTAATTGAGAGGAATAACTATGAATTACGGTTTGTTGTTTTTTCTTTCAAACTTTCCTATCGGAATCATTTATTGCCTTCCCTCTCTCTTTACAAGTGTTCAAAATAATATAAAATGAAAGCTCTAAAAATAAACATTTCTAGTAGGCAAGCCCAAGCCCAGAGAAGCAAAGTTTTTTTAAAAATGTGAATGTGTCTTAATTGAGAGCCTTGTCTACTATAAGACCGCTAATGTACAAAAGAAAGGAATTTAAATTCAGAGTGAGAAATAGAAAAAGTTAGTTGAGAAAGAAATGCAGGCAGACTAATTCCTGGAAGGCAAAGGTCAGTGGAACTTGATGGGTAAGAGCGATCAAGGTAAGACAATTAAACTGTGCAAATACTAGTTGTTAGCATACTAGAACATACACGAGGTTAACGAGACATACTCAAGGAAATGCCTAATTAGAAAATGAACACTAAACTGTTGATATAGGGCTTTTGAATTTTTTTTCATTCTGATATTTAAGTAAGTACAGCAAAAAGGGCAAATTTTACCCAGCTTATGTTTTGGGGTTCAACTCTAACCCTTGCCCCTGAATAACTGTAAGTATCTGCTATGGTAAAAATGATACTGCTTTAATTTCCAGCTCCATTCCCATCTGGCAGGGGAGAGCAACAATTAATACTCCCGAGTTTTGTATTTAGCCCCTGTGACACCCCTGGGGACCAGCCTGTGGGACAGTTTGTCTTTGCAAGGGTTCTTGGCTAGAATCAGGCAAGCAGGATTCAGGACAAGGCCAGTTCACATAGCATAGCTCAAAGCATACAACACAACTTGCTCCGAGGATGTTGGGCATTGTACTTCATTAGGAAACAAAATATAAGCTTTCCACACCATTAGGAATGACTTTAGGAGTGAAAGAACATAAGACGATGCCTCACCTCATCAACAATGCACTGCAGAAGCTGGAGAGGCTGCAATGGAAAAGAAGAGAGGGAAAAGTATTAGCCTACATGCAATGTCTTTACAGTGGAGTGGAAAGAAAAAATCATTAATGCAATAAAATATAGCAAGATTAATCAACAACAGCAAACTCTTATAAAAACATTGATGCTCAGGATGTTCTATTATTTCTAATGGTACCTAATCTAATACAGGCAGTTAAAGGTTTGCATTTTCTTCAAAATGCAATTTGCTAAGTTTAAAACAAGGCATTCAAGCATGCAAAAGAAGCAGCCATCAGGAAAAAGAAAAGTGAATTTTTTTCTGAACTCATAAAGCTTACCATTAAAGATCCCTGGTTTTTCTGAATCTGAAAAAAGGCAATATGTAATTAGCATGTCATAATCAAAATGACTCACTTGGACACATTATGATCACTGAGAGAAAATTATTGCATTGCTGGTGGCAATCTGTGGGCATGTGTTAACACAATTTACATAATGAAAATACACAAATGTTAATAGCTCGCTTCTCATTTATAGGCGAAAGTCAGCAGAATGTTAATTTCACACAACACTTTTTAGTACCCTCCAGGTTGTATTAGAATAGGGAGGAAAACCATAATCCATTTCAAAAGGCTGTTTACGATTCAGATATAAATAATGTTTTATATTGCTAGATTGTGAACACTGGGCTTAATGTTGCAATCATTGCTAATGTTATGAAGCTCACTCTTTTTAAATTAAAAACCGATTTATTTAAAATTGAAATTAAATCATAGTCAGAAATTAGAATTTTGGATTCCTGCCAATGTGTGCTCACATTCCCCTATTTTGTGAGGAAAACTTTAATTATGTGGTTGAAGTATTTGTCGCTAACTTAGGAGAGGGACAAAACTCTACGTTTTCCAAAGTACCTTTAACTTGTTTCCAGGGTTCCAAGGCTCTCTGGGAAAATCAAATTCATGCAAGTTTTATACTGTTTTTTTGTGAGTGGGAGCAGAGACCAGAGTGTGTGTTTCTAATTGACATGCTGAGGGCAGGCTGCTCACCACCACCGATAGCTCATATCTTAGAAAACTACCAAAATGTGACAAAATTAATAAGCCATCAATTTAGTACTTAAAATATTGAACACTGTAATCCTTCCCCCAAATGTCTACAGTTATTACCCATTCAGTGAAGATGCAGTCTCCATTACTTGATGTTCTAAGTAGGAAATCTTTAGGAACTAAATATTACTATTGATGAGCCAATTATTTCCTGGGACACATGAGCTCTAACCAGCTGATAAAACACAGGGACACCTGCACTAGTCTCTTTTATATTTTTAATGGCTTTTTTATAAGTTCTTTCCCACACATACTGTCATCTGATATGCATAACCGTCCAGAGGTACTTGGGGATGCCTCTGTATTTTGTGATGGGAAAACCAAGCATCTCAGAGGATGGGGTAGGTGAGGGCAAGGCTAGTCTTGGTGGTTCTGGGCTCCTCTGGCATCTATACCTCCTTGCTCATGATCAGCACAACACTTAAAACAACAGGATTCACCCACATTGATGCCTGGCATGGTATGGTTGCTAAATGATCAATCTTGGTGAGTTGGTCTGGAACATGTGAGCATTTCTTTTACAACCATCTGGCTAAGAAGCAAACCCTTCCACATAGTGCTTGGATGTTCTTAAAGTCCCAGCTGCACACACTGCTCACTCATGGTCTCCTCTATGGCTGACTCTTGGTCAACACTGATAAAATTCCTACTTTATGTTGCCCTGAATAGCTTGACTCCTACAGTCAATGAAACTCTCAGACAAGGCTCTGCAGGTGATGATTCATAACATGCGGGGAGGCAGAGCTGCTTACCACCTTAAGTGGTAAAGGGATATAGTAATAAGCCATACCACCTTTACAAAGGCCTTGACAGGTAACTTCTATGAGATGAGACACCTACCTATGGTGTTTGCTCTCATTCATTCATTTACTCCTTCACTTTCTACACACATGTGGGCACTATCCCCTCCAGTATTTGTCAGATACATCTTTTTTTTGAGACAGGGTCTCGTTAGGGAGTGCAGGCCAGCCTTGAACTCACTTATGTAGCCCAGACCGGCCTTGAACTCACGGTGATGCTCTTGCCTCAGCCTCCTGAGTGCTGGGATTACAGGGGTGCACCAGCATGCCTGGTGATATAACTTCTTTAATGGGAGAGTTATTTGTAATGAGCAAAGAATTAGAAATCTATTTTTGACATCAAGGAACATATTTGTCACGAATTTCCAAGAGCTGGGAGATTTATAAAATCTCTGGGGGAAACATGTGGCAAAAGTTCTAAGAGATGTTTGGAAATGAATTTAGGAATGGATTGTTCCCCAGTACCATTAGTAGTGTGAACCGACTGAATGAGTCACACTTCCTTATGAAATGAGGTCTCACAGAGGGTCTCCACCTTGCTCTGTTCTGCAGGTTAAAAGCAGAATAACTTCGAGACAACTTAAAATTGTACTATTTTAACATTTGCTCTTTACTACAAGAAAGATACAGCAATATCAGTCCTTTTTGTGACCTTATAACTACACTGTTTTGTCTGAGTTGTTAAAGAGAGATGTTGTTACTAAGCTTTATTACATAGTTTTGATAGCAACATATTACATGTAACCATCTTCATAAATTTTGTATTAAGGTAGCAGTGCCAGTACCTGAAATTGATTCAAAACCCTTAAAATACTCAATTACTTTTTAACACTGTTACCCAACGCTGTGACTTATACCTTCTATTTCACAAGAATCTGATGATGTTAACATCATTGTAATTGATTCATTTTCTCAATTAAATAAAGCTACTGTGCTTTTCTTTATATGGTTGCCACACAGACCATAGAATTAGATGTATTAGCTCTTTTCCCTGTCTCAGATATATTGCCTTAAAGGCTATACTCTGTTCCTCTGTTAATTCCACTGGAAAATTTAATGCCACAGTCATATTTTTTAAATTCTGAACTGCCATGTGGTCGACTGTATTTATATTAGGCATATTTTTCACAGCTAAACTCTTTGTTGTTTACCTTTTTCAAGATCACATTACTGTACAGATATAGCAACCATAAAACAGATCCAAACAAAGTCAACCTCCAGTCACTGCTTCTGTGTTTGCACGTAGTTCATGAAAAAGGGGAGCCTCCAGTTTAACTGCACATTAAAAGTGGTGCTAAGGGTATGCAATATAACATGTTAGCTTCCTGAATGCCTATCTTTATTCTGGGCCTGCCTTCCCAAAGCTGGCTGTGAGAGCAGAGTTCAGAGGAACACTGTACTGTGGTTAGGGCTGAGATATTGCCTGCACCTTACAACATACGAAACGCTGTATATAGCTAACTTCTCCAAGTTCACATGCTTGCTTGTACATTTTCCTTGCATTGAGTGGTTTCCATGTCTAACTAGTACTTTGGGGCAATGAACAGAAAATAATGCTCCAGATGTACATTTTGCTAATCAGTTTCTAGAACAAGTAGTGTTTGATACCCAAATTAGATGAACCTCTCCCCTCTTCTATGGACAGTTTTTTTTTTCCTTTCATCAGCTGTTATAGATAAGATTTAAAGACACTCTAATAGGATAGTTATGCTGTGTTCAAATAGGGAAGAAGGGTTTCATGAAAGCAGCTATAAACACCAGTTTGATCTGTTGTTGTATTAACATCTATCATCTATTTCTTTGCAAAGACTGTGCAGGGGGCCATTTAGAAGCTTCTATAATATGACAAATCTTGAAAATGATTCCAGAGGGGAAATTGCCAATGCCAAGTTTGCTTGTGGGGTCTCAACTATTTGTTCAGTGGTGTTGGAGATAAAAAGCAATCGTGGAGCTTTTATTTTATGCTTCCCTGTCTTAGAAGTCCTTTTTACACACAGTGGTAAGAGAGACCTTGCTACTGGTCCCGTTATATTACATTCAGAGCCATAATCAGAAAACTAAAATAGATCCACCTATGGAACTTAGAGAAGACACCAATGGTAGCTTTCATTTTCTCTTTTACTCTCTGAAATTATGGCTTGCCCTGCAGCTCTTGTCGGAGAGATTTATGTGTGACCTAGGTCAGATCTTCCAATAGCAGTTGACAAATATTCTCTTTACATATTTACTGCTTTTCAAGCTTGTGTTATTTTCTCTTAAACAGAAAAAGGCAATAGAAAATTACATCATTTGGTTGGAATTTTAAAAGAGTATCATTTTCATTTGTTGCACTACTGGCATTATATTCTAGCTTTCAATATAGAACGCTCTGTTCCCCTATCCCCTACCTTTTAATTTCCAAATTTTGGAGCTGTAGCTAGGTGCAAAGATTTTCTTTTTAAATTTGATGTATTAAGCTATACCTCTAGGTAAATATAAATGAGGATTATGGTAAACTGGGACTTTTGTGTTTTAAATGAAGAATTATGACCTGAAGAACTCTGCAAATGGAAAGGACCTTGGAGATGCTCTGTTTCCACCTTAGTGACTTTGCCATTAAGGCAATCGAGGCTCAAAGTGGTCCAGTGCCCAAGCACAGAGAAAGCCTGGCTTGACACTGGCCCTGGAAGCTGTGTGCTGGGGAAGATGCATGTCCTGAGGAATTGGCCAGACCTGGTGGCCTGGGATGTCTCCTCCCTTTACTGGGGCTCAGGGTTGTGGTCAGGGTTGTGGTCTGTGATGTGAAGGGATGAGCAGCCAGGGGAGCCTGATGTCTGGAGGCTCCCACGCAGAAGTCTTGCTTCTTCTACTAAAGGAGACAAGGTTATGATATTAGGTGCTAAAATACAGGGATGCTCTACCTTCAATCCTATATAACTTGCCAAAAGAGAGGGTTTCAAGTGAAAAAGCCTCTGATGAGAGGGGAGGAAAATCACTTCCACAAACTTTAAACCCAATGCCTTGGGCCATGAACCTCAGAGTTTCCAAATGATTGTTTTATTAAAAAAGGAACAGGTTTAAATTTATCCTGCCTAACAACAGATGGGAATGTTGATAAGTAGTGTTTTCTTTTTTTTTTTTTTTTTGGTACCGGGGATTGAACTCATGACCTTGCGCTTGCCAGGCAGGCACTTAAGCCACTGAGCTAAATCCCCAGCCCAGGTGGTGTTTTCACTGAATGCTGCATGACACATTATATTTCTAGTAATATGCACAAGTAGAACTCGCATGCCTTATCCTGGCCCCGTCAATTGACCTCTGCCCTTATTCAACTTCTTGCTTGCCACGGAGTCTGTCTTATACAGAATAAAAAACAGAGGCAGGTAGTAAGAGGACAGCTGGCAGCTACTGAACAGACTGTAAAAAACTCTCAGATTCCCACTCATGGGCGGCCCCTCTCTGGTCACACCTCAGACTCCAGCTGGCACGCTGTATGCAGGAGTGACCAGTTTTGAAAAGCAAGAAATAAAAATCCTGAATTTAGAAAACAGCTGGGTAGAATGGAAAGGCTCTAAGATGCCCAGAGGAGGGCGTAGCTCAGATAGGACCTGACAGAAAATCATCACAGCCATAAATTAGATCACTTGGCTTCCACTGCTTCCCGAGTATCAAGGACGATGCATTTTCACACAAAATACAACAGCTGGAGCATCAAGGTGTGGTGCAACATTACTCATTTGCTGGGTCTGCCAGTCGTGAGTGGGGGAAAAAGGACCAGCTTGCCAGTCTGTGCTCCTTTACCTTTCCTGTTTTTAAAATTGATAAAGTTCATATTCTGCCCCACATGCGTGTACTAGTGCCACTGTAAATCCTCCTCTGGGGAAATATACGCTTTCATTTTGTGAGAAAAGTAGGGACTCAGAATTGCAATTCAAAGTAATCAATGTGAATTACAAAATTAATCTTTTTACCAATGGTATAAGGCTGGACACTTTTCTTTTCAAGATTTTAGATATTTGCTGTGTCAAATATTTCTTTTTTTCTTTTGTTCCCAAGAAGGGTGATCTTATGTTAGAATCCAATGTAAGAAAATCGATTGTGTGTGTGGAGGTGGAGAAGGGGTGGTGATGAAGGAGGCTTGTGGACTACTCTGTCCTTTATGGTCCAATCAATCTGCTACAACAAAAATTTAAAGCAACCCTGTGTCCAGAAGGGCTTCGAGATCATTTAGTTTGCATCCCAGCTTCAGTGCTCCCCATGCCACAGAAGCCTGAGTGATGCTGGAATCCCCAGTCCACCTTGCCCAAGGGAGAAGTTTGCTTTATAATATTCTTGACAGGCACCATGTCTTTGTTGGAAGACTTCCAACAATGGAATTCCAGTGATTCCATTTTGGAAAGTTTATATTGCTTGCAAGTCCTTTATTACTTTAAATCTAAATGTACTTCCCATAAGATGTGCCTGGGACTTTGGAGCTGTGATGAATATATCCAATGTCAGCTCTTTATTATTTGAAGATAGCTGTCATAACTTTTCATTGTCTTCTTCCCTGAACAAGCACCCCTGCTTTCCTCCTTATGATCAGGTGTTATTTTAGATGCCCTCTGTTCTTCGCTCTAGTACAGACACTCCAACGACATTCCCCACATACAATCAGCCGCATGCTTCCTGGGCAGGTGATTTCCCACACAGGTATAGGGTGTGGCATGGTTTCACATTCTCCAGCACTGTAGTCACCTTCCTCGGGACATGCGACCATGCACGTATAGTAGTCACCTCCCCTTAGCCATGGGGCTAGGTTCCAAGCCCCTAGTGGATGCCTGAAACTTTGATAGTGCTGACTGATTTTACAAGCATTTATCCTGCATTTATATATCCATGATCAACTTTCACCTTTTTCACTCAAAGAAAGCATTTTATGGCTTCTTCTTAACATATCTGAATCACTGGCATCACTAACTGTGTACTTTGGGGCTATGATTAAGTAAAATACGAGTTACCTGAACACAGTATGTGATACCAAGACAAGTGATTTGATAACCTAGTTACTCTGTGACTAATGGGCAGGGAATATATACAACACATACATATACACTGGACAAAGGGATTGGCATGAGGTTTTCTCAAGCTACTCATACTGGTGGACAATTTAAAACTTATTTTTTTTTTGGAATTTTCCAGTTAATATTTTTGGACCCTACTTGAACTAGGCAGGTTACCAAAACTGCAAAAACAAAAATGTGGGTTAGTGGGGAGCACTGTATGATCCTCACCTACCCCACTTTTGGGGGGGGGTCACACTTTTGCGCTGATTGGCTGCAGCCACCTTGATCACTAAAGGCAGAAACTCAGAGGTTAAATGTGCATTGCACAGCTGGGCTCAACTATGAGAAAACAGAGAAAAAGAAAACACTGACAAATTAATTTTGCTTTTACGTGCTCTTCTATTTCTTTATGTGTCTCCTGCTGACACAACGTTCAAGAGTCAAAACCTGTGGCTGAATAAAGTGGCTGTGGAACGCAGCTATCTGTTCTCTCCTCTGCATACAGGCAGAGACTGCATCAGCCTTTTGTTTGGTAGGCCGAGGAGAGGCCTGTCCCACAGTGGAGGAGGATCAGAGGCTCTGGCGTCTGAAAGGATCTCTAGGGTTTTGCATGCAACCCAGTTTCTTGCTTCCCAGATCCTGCTATGCTTTCTCCATTGCACCCATGTGATGGTCTGAGTTCACCAGATGAAAGGAAGCCTCCATCCTTGTTCCAGCCTATCCTGCTGACACTCCAGAGCCGCCAGACTTCCTGTGAAGAGCTTATCATTTAAGTGGTAATGCTGGCTGGGCAGAGTTGGGAGCACAGGTCATAGAAGAAAAGGGATGAAACTATAAACTGAAAGCCCTTGGATTTCTCCTCATTGCAAAATTTGCTTTGCCAATATGTAAAAAAGTCAATGCGAGTCAAAAACAGGGTTCACAAATTCCATGTATGTTTATCAGGTGCTTATGCTGTGGCTGTACTTGATTCTAGAACCCATAAAGATAGATAAAATTGCTGGTCTATGAAAAATGAATACCTTTTTTTTTTTTTTTTTTTTTGGTCTTTTTTTGAGACAAGGTTTCACTATGCAGTTCAGGCTGATCTTGAGCTTACTTTGTAACACAAACTGGTCTCAAACTTGCAATGATCCTCCTGCCTCAGTCTTCTGAGTGCTGGGATTACAGGTGTGCGCCACCACACCCAGCTACGAATGCCTTCTTTAAAATCTGCAATTCAGTAGCAGAGCTGTGACCAAAGCACAGGGCTTGCATTCTTCCTTATGCCTCAGAGGATTTGGACAAAATACAGCCTCTGGATGGGTGCTTCCTTCCCTTGGGCTCCACAGATTTCTGAAACATTTTCCTCCGGCCCTATCCCTCAAGCAACATTTCTAGGCACTGCAAGAAAACTTGTTTCCTGGGCCCAAGCTCTAAGTATTCTTTTTTTTTTTTTTGTGCGTGTATGTGTGTGTTTCCTTTAAACCACCACTCTGTATTTGACAACACTGTTTGGCATGCTGAGAGCCTGAGACAAGCTGCAACTGCAGCCAGTCCACAGTTCACATAGGACGAGGAAGGGATGATCTTTTTTTTTTTTTTTTTTTTTTTTTGCCTTTTTCCTTTTTATTGGTACCCGGGATTGAACTCACGACTGCCTGCTTGCAAGGCAGGCACTTATGCTGCTGAGCTAAATTCCCAGCCCCTGGAAGGGATGATCTTAAATACAGTCACACAGAACCTTGTTAATTCACATGTGCTTTACTGGCTGGACTGTAAATGAACTAAACATAGGCTTAAAGAAAGGAAGTCACGGATCCAGAATGAACTAGATAAAATCTGACTCTTGTTTCAGAGTTTTGGTTTAGTCTTTTCAGATTCTGATAGAAGTAAATCAGGTTTTAATAAACTCCAAGGGAGAATTCAGGTAAATGGCTCAGCATGCTTCAGATCCTACTCACTGAATAAACCACAGTTTCAATGAGCAGTCATATAGGTCCATTAAAAAATGCCCAGATGAAAGCAGAGGTGTTCTGTGTGTATATCCATGAATGCACACATGCTTAGCTGTGGGCAGGGTGGATTCCCATCTCCCAGAGTTCTGCAGGTCATGGATCTAGGACACTTTTGTCACCTGCTGGATACACAGGCTCAGGCTATAAGAAAAGTCAGGACAATAACCTGGGTTAGCACTCTGGGCGCTGTACAGATAGAAACCATACAGGTCAATGACTTACAGTGTCACCTGTTAGGTGCGCCATTTGCCCTTCTGGTTCTTTTGGCCTGAGTCACTAAATGCTTCTGGCTGCCTGGCTACCAAGGAGGCAGAGAGCTGCCCAAAGGGCAGCCTAGGCTGGAGGGAGGCTACCAAGGAGGCAGAGAGCTGCCCAAAGGGCAGCCTAGGCTGGAGGGAGGCCTCCGGCCAGGAACTCTGTGTTATTTACAGAATTTTATCAAACTACAACTAGAGCCAGGTCAAGATTTCTTCATGCTTGCTGCAACCTCTTTCTGAAAACAAAATGAAACAAGACAAGCTGCATGGACCACTCTGGTCTGTCTTCCTCAGGGCCTGCAGCTTTACTCACCCCCTGACAAGGTGATTCATCTAAAGCTTTTCTTTCCTTTGCACCACCGTGATCACCATCCATTGACCTGTTCAGACGTACAGGGTCCACACTTGGCTCTAATTGGCTGCCCTGGTTTCCCATAATCCCTTGGAGATAACACCTTGCCTCTGTAAACAAGCTGCCCCCTTCCTGGCTCCTAGAGGAGCCTGGGACCTTTTTTCTGCTTGGTGTGTTCTGGCAATCTCCAGTGCTAAACTGTATCAAGCACTTTGCTCCTGTTAGGCAACTCATTGATTTTTCAATGAACTTAGCTTGTTTATTGGCAGTGAAGAAGGTTGGGTTTTTAGCAACACTAACATTTTAGTTGAGGAAGAATTCCCAAGCCCTCCAGGCATTAATCCAGAATTGTTAAAACATCTAAAAGGTAATATTTGCTCAAACAAAGCTCTATCAGGTCTGCCCCTTTAAGTCAGATGTCAATGATTCACCAGTCCCAAATCTACACACAAGTTTCCTATGCTGGATGGTAAAAGATAAAGCACTGGAGTACAGTAAAAGTTGATGTGTTTCAACCCAGGTCCCAGTGCCTGAAGGTGCACCCTAGCGATGAAGCCCTTGGTAGGTTGACCTGGAGGGGCGGACCCGCATAGACTGCCTGGTCTGCAACTTCCTGGTGCACTTCCTCCTGCGGTGGGCGGAAATACCTAGCCGACACAATTCAATTAGACTGTGGCTGACAGGGAAGGAAGCTGGGCCTCCTATATACACTTGCATATATAAGGAACAAAGAATATGGGAAGAGGGAGCAACAAGATAGGCTCCTCGGCCCCAAATCCCGAGAAATAGGCAATAGCAAACACAGCACTAATAGATATAAAGCGCTGTCTCCAGAGCCTCATAGATGAGCTCAGGAATGAAGTTATTAATGACCTGAAGCTAGACATAAGCAGAATAGTTAGAGAAATGCTAAGCACCACCCAAGAAAAAACACATGGTGGAATGGAAGAACAGAAAAAGAGGGGAGAATTGTTTGATGGAGAAAATAGAGAAAGCACAGAATACGTGAAGCAGGTTCAAAGAGATTACCAGGAAACTAAAAACTCTATCGAAAACTGGCATAACAGCTTGAAAGAAACTAAGGACAGATTATCTGAACTGGAGGGCAGATTTGTAATATGGGAGCATGAAATGAAAAACTTCTTAAAAATAACAAAGAAACAAACAGCAATAATACAAAGACTAGAAGATGACAAGAGGATCTGTAACTTAAGAATTAAGAACAAAAAAAGAAGTAGGGACACAAACAAATGAACTACAAAAGCTACTCACGGAAATAATCCAGGAGAATTTTCCTAATTTAGAAAAAGGTAAAGATATATGAAGCATACAGGACCCCAGCCACCTACAACCCAAACAGAGCTACACCCAAGCATATAATAATCAAAATACCAGAAATCCAATATAAGAATAGAATATTAAAAGCCGTCAGAGACAAGAAACAGATCATTTACAAGGGAACACCCATCAGAATTACAGCAGACTTCTTGGCACAAACCATCAAATCACGAAGAGTGTGGGGGGAAATAATTCCAGCTTTGAAAGATAATAACCTCCAGCCAAGATTGATATATCCTGCATAACTATCCCTGGAAATTGATGGAAAAACAAGGTACTTCCAAGATAAAGAGGAACTAGGGGAATATGCAACCACTAATTCAACTCTACAGAGAATACGCAGGATATTCTACAAAAGAAAAATATGAAGAATCCAGAAATAGTGGCAGAGAGGCCACAATGAATGGAGCAGAAAACAAAATGAAGAAGACAAACTGACAACTAATGACAGAAAAAGAGCTCAACAGAAATGAGGCAGAGAAGATTGGATGATAAGAACAGCCATTTTGGAGAAAATGACATCATAATAGGTAATGCTGATTTAGTATCATCTTGTTTTGAAGTCTCATCAAGCTTTTGTTCTTCTGTCTCCATTGGTCTTAACATGTTGTATCTTACTGGATTTTATTATATGTGATAGTATAAACAAAAACTTTTATAGACAAGGAGATTTACAGAAACCATTGTTCATTTTCTGTTAGTTGATTCTAAATACCCTGTAATACTGTCATTCTCTTAAATGGTTTTACATTGTTTTGATATATTTGATGCTACAGTATATGAAGTTATACTCAAAGATTTCAAGGAAAGAGACAATATGGTAACTACTTTTATGTCGGGATTATCTTGTGGTGAAACACTATTTTGCTTAAATGGTTATGTTTTGATCTGTGCTGTTTTGTTGTTATGCCCTCTTTTATCTCAATCTCCATTTTATTATTTACTTTTTTATATTTATCCTTTTAATTATGGGAAAAATAAATAAAAAATAGCAGGATATATTATAGTAACCCACTTTGACTGTCTATTAACTTGATTTGAAGCCCTGTATTGCTCTCACCATCTTGTTTTGACTGATGTTCCTCTATTCTATTTTGCTTGATAGTACCAGGTTCGAAAGTTTAGGCAACAGCTGTGAAGATAGTGGCCCATTCTGGTTGACTATTACCTACTTTTGAAGACCTGTAATGTCTCCAATGTTTTGGTTTTGTTCTTTACTGTTTTGTTCAATTTTAGTATAACTGATGATATAGGCAATTCTATTAGCGATAGCGGGAGGCATTATGGTAACCATTGTTGATCACCTTGTATTATGCTTTTACATTATGTACTATGTCCACCCTTTTGATTTGACTGACTCTGTTCTGTTATGTCACATTTGGTTTTATTCTCTTCCAAAAAAGTAATAAGAACTGTGGGAACAATAAAACCCAAAATGTGTAATAGTCATTGTACAAAAGAGAGGAAAAGAAAGTGCTCTAAACGATATAACTGCATGTATATTTAAGTGTATAAGATAGACAATGACATTACAGAGTTTTGTGGGATCACTGAACAGAACTGTTTGCAGTCTCACTGTTTGAATGTCCACTTTATAAGCTTTAATTTTGTAACTTGAACAAATATTTCTAAGATGACAATATGTAATCCATTAACTAGTGATTTCCTGTTTTTTTTTCTGAAATTCTGTATAACTTGTACCCTTTTTTTTGCTTTTTTTTCTTTTTCTCCTCAAATAAAATTAAAAAAATAAAGTTGATGTGTTTGTTGCTATTGCTACTCTTGCTTTTGAGGATCACTGTCTTCCTTAGGATCCACAGCCAGCTGGCTATTACCTAGCAGGGACAGTGCAGCCTGGAGCAGTAATTGCTATGTTTGTAGACACCAGTTGGAGGCAGTACCTGAGCAGATGGTATATAAAATAGGGACTGTCACTGGGGCTCAGAGCTTCTGGGTGCCTCATGTCATCTTCTCCTCACATCATCCACTAGGGAGAGAAGACCACTGAACAGGGAATGGGAGTTGGTCTGACCTTGCCACTGAATAATTGTGCGACTCAATGGCTGTGGACTCCCACTTCTTTCTCTGTAAAGAAAGAGCTGTATCAGATCATTGTAAAACCCTTCTTTACATCCTGGGATTCCAGGACTTCAGGAGGAAACTGACTGAACCAATAAAACTATGTCCTAGGGGAGCAGGAGAGCTCTGGATCACAGATCCAGGAGGGACAGAAGATGGCAGAGTTGACCCCAGGAAGCCAGACTGTATGCCAAGTTCATTAAATCTCTGAACTTCAATCCTACTTCTGTGCTATGCTGATTATTTAAAATCTATAAAATTATAAGTTTAGTCCCCAGTTCCTGTACTAAAAATGACTAGATTCTGTATATAATTCTGTATGGTATGATTGTGAATGATAAATTATAACGACGACGACGAAAGGACTGTAAAGGAAGGCTCTTGTGGGATCAGACAAGTAATTCATTTTAGTCCTACCTGTCATGAGACACAGTCATATATTTTCAGGCTTACATAGGTAAATCCCTGAAGTGCTTTCTGGAAATATAAATAATACTACTATTACCTTGCTCTTGTTTACTACCTTGTATTTTTCAAAGTGCCTTCTTAGGTGTTGGCTCATTTGATCATGACAATGCCTCTCCAGCAGTCTAGAAAATGTCCGAGGCTGTGCCAGGCTGAATTCATAGGGTGGCAGGGCAGCCTGAGAGGCCTGGGCCAAGTTCCCTTGGGGCAGGGACCTTGAACCCCAAGGACTTATCATCCTCGGCTGGTATCCAGCCATTCCAAAGGGCATCATGAAACCCTCTAACATGTTTTTTTTATCTGGTCTCTGCTACATGTGCCTCCTCCATGCTAACATACTTCTTTCCTTCTCTCTCATTTTGCTCTCCCTTTTCTTATTCCCGATGGTGCTGCCTGAAAAGTCGCCTAGGGAAACTGCTAGACTGTTGGGGAAGGTGAAAGTACTAACAGGATGCCAAACACAATCTCGTGTTTCAGACCTTCACCTCTTTCCAGTTTTACCAATTTTTGATGTGAGAACCTAGACCAGTGGCTGTCGGGCACTTGAGCCAAATCACCCTGGCATCACCTCAGTAGCCAAGGATCAGGTTTAACTGCAGTGTTGGTACCTTTTGACAATTAAGTGGCTTACGGGTTGCAGTTGGGTACTTATCTCTAAAAGGGCTGCTGTTGCTGGTCTAGACCCTTCTTCTGCATGCTGCTAGCCAGTGACACCTTGGCATCCCAATGTGAGCTGACCACTCTCCCCCTCAGCAGAGGCCAGTGTTCTAGCTCCTGGAGGTGCCTTCTCATCAACTGCCATTTGTTGGTTTTGTGTTTTTCTTCCTGCTAGATTGAACTCTCAGGAAGGACTTGCCTGTTCCATCCTGTGCTCTAGGGTTCTGCACAGTACCGGGCTCAGAGCAGGGGCCAACAACAAAGAAATACTGAATTAAGTTGAGATGTATGGCATACAGTAGTTTACTTTAGATAGGCTATACTACCAAAGCAACTTGGAGTTGATACTTCAAGACAGGTTTTACTACTCTGGCTGGCTGTGTACATATATGGTGCTCTGAAACACAGGTGAGTTACTTATCTTTAATGGAAGTTAGACTTTTGTGCTACTTATGCTTTGGGTATAGCTAATTTCTCTTCCATTCCTGCTGTGTTTTAAGGAGAAACTAGGCACTCACTTCATGTTTTTGGCAGAGGTTGAGCAAATAAAATGATGAGACCTTCAGATAAGTTGACGTGGATATTGGGAGTAGAATTTGGTACTAGCAATTAAAAAATTCCTGGGTGGGGGCTGGGGATTTAGCTCAGCGGCATAAGCACCTGCCTTGCAAGCAGGCGGTCATGAGTTCGATCCCCAGTACCGATAAAAAAAAAAAAAAATTCCTGGTTATACGAATGAACATCTTCATATTACTTAAATTTAACCCTGCCTTTATGGAACATAAATCTGATTTTCTGGCTTGGAATATCAGTAGCAGGGCTTGGAACTTAAGCTCAGTAGTACAGTATTTATACACATGAAGTCATGGTTCAATCCCTGGTACCAAAACACCGCAATAAAAAACAAAGTAAATTAAGAAGAAATATTGGTACATTTTAAGTATTCATATCTTACATAGAGCGGATAAATATAAGTAATGAATGAGACATTTAGGCTAGAAATCTGGGTAAAAAATTGCAAGTATATGTTGTTGGCCAATTAAAGCCAAATGCCAAGGACTTGGGGCAATTATTCACTGCTTCTTTTCCTTTGTTACAGACCTCACACAAAACACTGGATATGTAAAATTTACATAAATCCTTGATGTTGTGAACTTCAGAAAGTTCATGCAACAAAGGACAATTTCTAAATATCTTTTTTCAATGGGCAAATTTATTAGGTATTTTGCAATTCTAGGCATGATTAGTATATTACTACAGTCTGAATTCAATATCAAAGTTAAAACAGTACTGAAGTTAGAATTATAACAATACACTTGTAAAGTTTTTTAAAACATGAATAAAATTTAAGTGTAAAAATGCCAGCATTTTTACATTAGAATCTGAAAAATGATTTTAAATAGTTTTAAGAATATCAGATTTACATTCTGGTTAGAGTAAAACAAATATTCTGGCCAGCGAATAACTTATTAGTACAAAATAAATGAATGTTTAAAGGACAGTCTGTCAATTAGAAAAATCAAAAAACAAAACCCACACATTCAAATTGCAGGCTTCCAAGCCAAGTTAAACAAAATATTTTCCCCTTGACAAGCTGCTTACATTTAAATGAAAACAGGGCAAATCTGGTCAATAATATGGATTGCATATGATAAAAAAAGACCTTAGATCATGTTAATGCAAGGATCAGAAAGCAGTAACTTCAATTAAAACCACCCAATTATTTAGCAAGCTTTCAGATACAGCAAATAAATTAACCTGTTTTAAATGGAAGTGCTCAGATAAGTACCTTTCTGACCTATGACTAAGTCTCATGAGCAGCACAGATTCTGCTGAAGCAAACAAAAGCGCCCAAATCAAATGAATGGTATTAGTGATCAAAAAACATCGGCAAAACTTATTTCCTTGGTTAGTAGCAGGATTCTGAAGCAAGTGCCATCTAGAACTCCTCGTGTCCTCTATGTATGGCATACAGGGGTGAATGTACACTTCTCTTACTCAGAAACAGCCAGGTGGCTTGTGCTTAATGGTAGAATGTTTCCAGCTCTGTATTACTTCATGAAAAAGACCAGTCACTATACCATCAGGAATGCTACGCTCACACTTCTGTTCTCTACTTATATTTAACTTGTGTAGGGTTTAAGAATGCCTTTTTGGGGGGACAAGTAATATGTCATCATTTTGCTCAGTTAACAACCCCGACAGCCCCATATCCTTGAATTAAGAATGGTAGATATCTAGTTCTCATACACAGGTGGCAAAAGCTAGCAGAATAAATGAGACTCCACCATTTGGTAGTCAGGGTTTCTAGTTCCTAAGATTCCATACTTTCCTTTTACTTAGGCCTTAATTGTTCTACTTGGCAAGATGATGGCATATTTTTTTCAATGAAAGTGATCTTCTCTAGAGTGCAGTACTTATTTGACTGCCATTCTTATATATTTTTAACAAATAACATCACTATTCACTATTTCTCTTATCTTTTTGATCTTTTTTACTACTTATTATCTTCTTTATTTGAAACAGATTTTTAACAGATAATCTTGATCATTACAACAATATCTTCCTTGCATTTTATTCAAATAATTCTTAAAAACAGCTTAAAAAGCCGTTTGGAATAACATCAAGCTTGCCATCAATCAAATGAAAAAATTCCGCTGGCGGTTGTATAAACATCAGATCAAGTCTGATGTCTTCAAGGATTTCAGAGTGAACCATAAAAAACTCCATTAACTTCTGACAAAGAATGCAAATTAATCACAACATGGGGTGAAATGAAATTAAAGGCTCTTTTCTAATCAATGACAAGGCAGGATGAAATATTTGTTACTCTCTCTGCACTTGGGCTGCCTAGGACGTCCGCACTCCCTTTGCAGAGCCCCAAATGGAAGGTGTGAGTAAGGATTCTCCCACAGTCACCGTGTGGCCCTCCTGCCCTCCCCCCAGCGCTATCTGCTTACAAGTCGTGGAGATTCACAAAACACACTAATCATCTGAATCTCAGGTGCATCCAATTTGTTATTCACACTCTTCTATGCCAATGAAAAGCCTGGCACAGACAGATGCACCAGGAACCCTAAATGATAGTTTTGGCCTCCGGAAGTACGATCACTATAGCAAAATCTAGTACAGCCTCCAGGTGAAATGTCTGGAGCTCCATATGGAGCAGGGAAAATTAACAACAAGATGAAAATCACTGCAGCAGCAGGGAGTCGGAATTTTTGAAAAAAAAATGAAATTTAAAGATGAAGAAAGAGAAGTAATAAATTAATGGGGTGTGAAAACATTCAAAGCTTTACAATACCAGGGGCACTATTTGCTCAGATTTTTTTCCCCTTCTTTTTTTTAAACTTCAGGTCATTTTGATGTAATTTATTAACCAAGATCAGGAATTGTAGCCAAAAGAAGATATTTTTATACATGCAAAAGTACTTTAAATACATTTGTGTCTGTGTTAGCCTTGCTTTCCTGTGGCACCTTGCTTACCAAATTTCCCAGTGTCACACTGGACATGTCCCCTGAGAAGTTGCCTCAATGGATTTGCTATTGGCCTAATGCAAGGCACCACTGTAAAGTTTGAATGATGATTTTTAGCAGGCAATCCTTCTCGTGTCTCCTAAATTATGGTGTCATTAAACAAACCATTGCCCACTATCTTGTCTTTTAAGCCAACTAAATTTGGATCTACATGATTAACTATACACAACCTCTACCCTCATCCAGACCTGCCCATCTTTCTAGGTTGTTATTAAAGCTAAATTGTTCAAGAAATTGAGACTTTTTCTATGTAAGGTGTTTAAAAGCAATTTCTCATTATCCTATTGCAGAATACTCTGTGGGCACCCGGAATTTAATGACACTGGGATTGGTGAAGGATCTAAGGCCCTCTGGATACCCCTATCCTTTTCTTACATACAGAGTAAGAAAAGCAAAGGGCTCTAAGGAATGGCCTTGCCATTGTCTACAATGGCACAATCCTTTGATATTTGGCATCTACACACCAGGCCATCCAAGCGCAGAGGAGGCAAAGGTCTGGTGGGGCTGAGGAGGAAGACAGCAAAGATATGAACAGCAGACCCTGTTACAGCCCACAAAGCAGCCCTTGCACCCATCCCAAAGGCAAGGGGCTTCACCTTTGCCCCTGAAGGCTTACTCAAGACACAGTAAGTCCTTGTAGGTGGGATGAACAGCTTGGGAAAGACACAGGAATGCTCAGGAGCTCCATGGCGATGCATCAATTTGAGACGTCATTGTTCCTGTACGCCACAGTAATAAGACTGTGCATTCAGAGTAGACCCTAACCCTTTTTCCTACAGAGTCCCAAACTGCACACCAATGAGGCTCTGCCACCCTAAGGCCTGGACCAGTGGTGATGAAACTATGGCATGTATGCCACGGTGGGGTATTTGTATGATGGAAAGCTCTAAAAGGTTTGCCAATCCTGGCCTAGAGAAAACTCAGTGCTTTCAAGCAACAAACAGTGAAACTCATATAACCATGCTCTCAAGAAAGCCCAGCCCCTTGGTCTTCACGTTGGTTCCAGGCCACTGACTCTCCCTGATATCGTCCCAATACCCCTCCCTCATCTGTAGCTTCACGGATACACATGGTGTCATCAAGGGGAGAGGGGCTGCTAAAGATCTGTCAGGGGCACCGATGCTGGGCTGGGGGATGCCTCCAGGACAGTCCTTCCTCTCAGCTCCCCTCCTTGCACCTTATGCCTTCAGCACCTGGGGTGGAGGGGCAGTAGGTGGCTATGAACATCCTTTCACAATCTTCCAGGGATGGCTGACTTTCTGTTCTGTGCCTCAGCTCCACATCAGGGGAGGTGGGGTGGCCCTTTGTGATTTTCTGGGTGGTTTCATATCTATTATTTGATCAGCACATTGCCTCTAATGAGATAGGAGAGTGAGAGCTAAGTACGCTGTTTTAGAAACAAGGCAACCAATGCCTCAAAGAGTTACAAAGCAAGACTGAGGATTTGTGCTAGAGCTGGATTCTAATTCTCTTGTCTCTCTTCCGGTTCTGAACTCTTCCCTATGGGCCACTTTTCTCAACTTACCACTAGTGAAGAGATCCAGGTCTGACTCTCTGCTTTGACCTTGGGTGGCAGCACCAATTCACAACCCTATCCCCAGCCCAGGTACAGAGGATCTAACACCATGATCTTTATGATACATGAAGGGCTTTTCTGTGTTCTAGGACTAGTGGATGATAATTAGGAAGTAGTCCTCAACCTGGTAAATAGAACACTACTTTGATCTTGCCATTGCTTTATTAATGAGTTTCTTCTTACTAGAGGTATTCAAACAGCATGGAGGTCTGCTTTTGGGAAATGCTGCACAGAAGTTATTGGATGATGTCTGAGATCTCTTCCGACCCTCCAGAGTCTCTGGTTCACTCCCATCTACTCTGAGATTCACTGCAATGAAACCAGTCACAGTTCAGCTCAGGAGTTCAAATGAGAAAATGTGAACAAAGGAGAAGGTACTATTTTGTAATACCAATCTCTGATACTATGGTAACATACATTTTTCTTCATGTGCTTATCTGAGGGCAAAAGGGAGAGTAGGTAAGGAAGCCATATGAAGTACCTTTCTTCAACATTCTGTCAGTAGTACAAAGCTTTCAAAATAAATGCCAATTCCACACAAAGTCATATTGACTTTAGCAAGAGAGCACCCAAACTCCTGTGGAAAACACTGGAAAATGGGTTTACTGACGTCAAAGCTACTTGTTTTTTTTTTTTTTTTTTTTGTGGTACTGGGAATTGAACTCATGACCTCAGTCTTGCCAGGTAGGTGCTTAAGGCCACTGAGCTAAATCCCCAGCCCCCTTGTGTTTTTTTTTTTTTTTTTTTTGTAAATACAAGTCCCAATTTGATGATGACATTCCATTATAATTGAAGAAATACTTCTTCCTCCACTTGGCATAAAATTGCTAAGTAAGGGAGTTCAGCATATTAGAATTTCCCTGTTGAGCCTTCCGTTGACTCATCTGGTAAATGTGTAACATTCAGACTCAGAGGAAAACAGTGAAGACACCCACCTCTTCCCAACTAACCACAGCCCTCAGCAGCACCATTTGTCATGGTGGTCCATGCCCCAGACTCCTCACCTGACAACTCCTCCTGAGTGATTACTCCAGACGCTAGGAATCTAGAGAATATAGCTACATTTCCAATCTTTGGAATTTTTATTAGATAGCTTTCAAGTTTTAAGACTTGTTGGAGAGATGATACTGTAAAGAGCTTCTTCTGTTCACTTGAACAATTTTACAGAATTATGTAAACTGGTCAAACAATGAATTATTTAAAAATTACTTACAGAATGACAGGCTTTACCAAGATAAATATTCTAATGAGCTATAAATCTTGAAAATGTGATTTTAATTTGATGGGCTACCTAGAGCAAAGCAGCAAGGCTGTAGATACACTAAAATTCCACTAAATGTTTGTGCACATTATTGAAAGGGTTGTTGGCCCAGACTGGACACTCAGCCGGAATTAGGGAGCTCCTGTCTCCCCGCCCCTAGAGATTTACCTGTAACCCTATACCCCCCCTACCCTTCGGAATCTGCCCCTGGTGCCAAACGTGTGCCAGTGAAACACCTGTGCATCTCTAATGGCCTTAGGGCACTGCCCTAAACTTAGGCTACTTATATTCCCCCATGCCACGTGTCCGCGTGAGAGAGATGGCCAGATTCCAGCGGCCAGCACACCAGTCCTCTCTCTCCGTGTTCCCAGAATAAAGGCCTCTTTTGTTTATATTCCTCATCTTTTGGAAATATTTTTCATTTTCTGGAAATAATCCTATTATTTGGTGCCGTGACTCGGATAAAACACCTGACACCAGCTTCTACCTAGACATCAACCGTCATCCCGTCAACTCCCCTAGACCCCAGTACAGCGCCCTCAGCCAGCAGGAAGTAGTTAAAGAAAAATCTTCGCCCCTTTTCATAATAATCATAAGACGGGATATGAAAGGGTTTTGGCCCAGGCCGGATACTGTAGCTGATAAAGCCAAGGAGCTCCTATCTCCCCCCACCCTTAGGAATTACCTGTGGCGCCAAACTAAGACCAATGGGCTACCTGTGCATCCCTAATGCCCCCCTTAGGTTCCACCCCAGGCCGAGGCTACTTATGTGCCTCACTCCACGTGTTCCACGGAGAGATCGCCGGCCCCGGGGTGGAGATGCCACGTCCCAGGGGGTTGGGGGTATCTCTCCCCGCATTCCCAAAATAAAGGTTATTTATATTTCATACTTCTTATCTTTTCAGCCGCTGCCGGTCCTCCTCTTCCTCCTCCTCCTCCTCCCCCCACAGTTCTATCAATTATGTTTCACGTTTTTCTCTTTAAGGACAAGATTATGTTTTAACAAAGAAGCTTACACATTTGAAAAGCGGGACTAACAACTTGAACTGTTCCTCTTCCACTTATCTAAGACTTTAACTGGAAAGGAAAAAGGATATAAGAGTCATTTTAGTGAGTGAAAGCTCTTTAAATGTCTACAAAGGTAGCAGGAAAATTTCCTTCAAACTGCTTCTAAAGATGGTGGAGAGAATGAGCCCCCTCCTATTATTCAATAACCATGTTTGGGATGCATCTGCATAATCTAACCATGCATAAATTAGTATGTGTAATACAACACTTATTTGCATAATAATAGCAAGTTAATAGATGCTTAAAGAGCAGAGACCAATACCACCTTTAAATCAGACATGCCTTAAGGCACTTTGGCCTATACAGACCAAGATGCCAGAAAAACACGGAGCATCAACCAGAGGAAAACAATCAAGCCATTCATTTTCCATCCTTTCAGATATTTCACTTATTTCTGCACACACTCTGGGAATCATTTTTAAACTACAAACCAGCTTTATATTTTAAGTGCTAGTACCCTCCAATGATAAACATTTTAAAGAAATTATAAAAAGTGCAGTCAGCAGTGCTAATACAGTGGACTATTTGTTTTCATAGAAATGTGAATAGGGAAGGATAAAATTAAAAACAATGCGCTCAAAATTACATGTAACAACAGGGGCCTAGTTACCTGGCAAAAATAATGATCTAGATTATTTTTGCTCTTCATCGGAATCTTTTTAAAAGCAATTTAAGTTAAACCCAAAGTTAAAACAAAAAAAGGTACCAGGAAAAGGCTAAGCCCCTCCTTCGGCTTCAATAGGAACACCTTGTACTGGGTCAGGAGAAGGGAAAAACATCTCAAATGTCACACAAAGGAAGAGCACAGATCGCTGTCAACCTTTAACAAACAGGAAGAAAGTCTGGAGTTTAAAAAAAAAATCAAAAATCAATAGAGATTTCTAAATGACTCCTTTAAGATACCACTTTTCAATTTAACAGGACAGATTTATTTGTATGTGGCTCCAATGTTCAAGATTGCTCCCTGCACCTTCATACATAGGAATGAATGTCACATTGGCAAACAGCAGTAATGAACAATCTTACCTGAGGATATGGGAACCTCCCAAGAGCAAGCTGGGGAAGGAAATAATATTTGTCTAGTTATAGATTTGCATGCAGGGCAGATCTCCTTAAGATAGACAAGTACTAAATTTCAGAACTGTATCCAGCAAATATAAAAAACCTCACAACTTTGAATGCACGAACTAAATTATTGCTGTAATTACATTATAAGCTGTATTTAGAATGGACATTTTCAACAGACAATGCTGCATTCCTACTAAAATATTCTAATTTTTGTAACTAAACATTACCCTTATGTGGTTTCTCTTAGGAATACTCTCAGCTCTGTGGGCAGTATTCACATTTACACGTGTGCCAGTTTCTTCTAGGCAGAGGTGTAAAATGGTTGGCTTTTTGTCTCGTACAATGGGAACTCTAATTGTTCTTGGCTTTGTAGAGTTTTCAGTACAAGTATAAATGAAGGATGGGAGGAAGTGAAGAATAGGCTAATATGAAACTGAAAACTGTGCCATTATTTTCATCTACCTGTTAATTTTTTTCACCTACTTTCTATTCACAGAATAAAAGGGCTACTGCTAGTGGAAAAATGGCCATTTGAAGACCTTGAAATTGAAATTATAGGCCTAAGTCTGCAATTGGGAAAGTGAATTCCAGAACTTCTAGTTTACTTTAACTCATTAACAACTGTTTCTGGACTTGTTTGTTTAATAATTTTGGCCTTTGGATCCTTGCCTGTGAAAGGAAAAAAAAAAAAATTCAATGAAGAATAGGCTTGACAATAAGACCAAAGGTAACAACTACACCATAACCTTTCAAATAAAGGCAAAAGTCTGCAGGTTCCTGATTTGGCCCTTTCTCAGTCCGGAACCCCTTCATGTATACCTGTAACCACTTTCAGAGTAGAATCACAATGTTAGGGAATTTCAAAGCCAGGATGAATCTGAGAGAGCACTGACTGGCTTCAAGGTCAGAATCCTACAGTTCTATTCAGGGGTCCCACAGAGGTCATCAGTAGGAACTTGGAGACAGTCCCCAAGATACTGACTGTGCACAAACATTCCTGAGCTCCTCTGCAGCAGTGTTTAGAACCATTTCATGGAACAGAAGAATACCTGCTTCATTTTACTGGAAGTACATCTTGGATTTAAAATTATACTCTTGATTATACTCTTCAGTTGGTTGACCACGAAAACTATTTGCCGATTAATGTGTAATGACTTAAGGATATGAACAAATTCCAAAGCTACCTACAAAGAATAAGTACTTTGTTGCTTACTAAGGATAGACATGAAGGTGTTGCGGTTTTCATAGTTTGAAGACCAGTTTGAGCAACAGCAGTGTAAATCCTTATAACCTTATAAGGTGACTACTTTGAAGGGGACAGCACTCATTTAGGGGTGTGTCTGCTTGTGTGTTTAGAAACACCTAGTATCAGTACCTTGTAATCCTCTTACATTCAAGTTGTCTATTGGTATGTATATGGATTTTCAAGATATAAAGACATACAAAGTTTCAAGATATAGTTAAAGCTATCATTATTTCATGTGATGGATATCATCAATGCTTTCAAGTAAAAATAACAAAAGTAAACAGGCATGATAGGGCACACCTGTAGCTACTTGGGGGCTTGGGAGGCTGAGGCTGAAGATTGCAAGTTTGAGGCCATTCTGGGCAACTTAGCGAGGTCTCCAAAAAAATAAAAAATAAAAAATGAAAAATGAAAAAAGAGGCAAGGAATAGAGTTCAGTGCTTTGAATTAATCTTTTCTTAATGGAATAAAAAAAGCAAAAATTAACAATATCACAAGAAGGGGTAAAGGAAGGAAAGTGCGGCTGTTCACCTAAACCAGTTTCTAAGCTTAGTATGTTTGTTGTCTTTGTGTTCAGCGTTCCCACTGTGCCCGCTCTGTCCTCACCCACTGCAGGTCTACCCGACAGTCCTAACATGATGGTGTATTTCTGGCCAGTGGGACATGGGCACTGGGACCTGGAAGAACTCCCTGAGCCAGGTGCAGTGGGGGGCCAGGCATCTGCAACTTTCTGCACTTGCGAGATAGGCACTCGCCCTGTGTGGGGCACGAATTCTGCATTTACTCCCACTGGGACTAGAAGAACAGTAAGAGGAAGGTCTCTCAACCAAAAACTCGACAGTTTAGCAACTACCAGAAAACACTATGAACTTTCTGTCTCGTGCCCTCTGCAGCCATGGCACCACTCTCAGGCACATGTTGAACATATGTTAGGGACCACGGAAGAATTCTGTCCCCATGGTTTGCAGGTGGAGGACACCTGTCTGCCACATGTGCCATCAAGATCTAGATCAGTTGGCAGCTGCCAGTGTTGGTCCCTGGTTCTTGCGGTTTAAAGAATTAAGAAATGTGAAGCAGACACTTTAAGAAAACGAGTAGGATGAGGTGAAGATTCAAATTCTCCCCATTTTGACACCTGGTTCTTAACCTCACCGCTGATTATACAGAGCCAGGCTTCAGGAAACTGGGACTCATCCCTTGGCCCCTCTGTCACAACTGCTACAGAGTAAACAGGACTGCTGACAACGCTCTGTAAGACACTATCTTGCAAGAGAGCAGAGAGTTCAGTGGCAGCCAGTCAGAGGGGGCAGCGTTTGAACCGGTTCACATTTCATTCTTGGGTCTTGCTTTGTTTTGCTTGCATTTTCCTGATATCTGCTAGAGCCCTAGTTCTACCTGTCCACTATGCTCCTGTCCACTACATTCCAGGACGGAGTCTATGACATCCTGCAGGTTGGAGTTTCAGAGTAGACAGTGGTTCTTCAATCTTGACCAGTAGGTACCATGGTAACAGCAGTGGGACAATCACTTCCTTTCCCATCAAATGTCATCATTGGGCTGTTATAGTAATTCCAATGCTATATTAGTGAACATGGCCCCAGCTCTATCAGGCTGGCATTGAAAGCATCCATGTTAAGGTGCCAGCACAGAACCTGCCATCCCCTATGTCCTAGTCCTTTCAGGCCTAACAGAGCCGCTATGCTTACAACCCACACTATCTGCCTCATGGCAAAGTAGAAGGAAATATATAGACAGCCCTTAAATCCCTTTTATCAAGCTCTATTAGGAGAAAAGAAGGAAAGGGGCTCTTAGCAGATACAAACTTAAAAAAGTCAAAATTAACATGGAATCCTTGTGGGGAAAGAGCATGCATGTGCTCTGAGTGTTCCAGAGACAGACAGACCTGGGGCCATTCTGTATCCTTTACCCCTACTGGTCTATTAATCTACTTGCATTTCCCCAGTTTTTATTGTCAAGGTATTATAAATTAAGAAACTTACAAAAGAGAGTATGTAATCTTCTCTGAAATGGCCTGCAGATATGTCACTGTACTAAATGTGTTTCAGATTTAATGAAGCTTTAATGTCCTTTTTAATTTTGCCTGTTTCTGTATCACCAGGGGTCAGGCAAGGCAATCAGCACTCAAGAGGGTGGTTTGGTTTAAAACTAGAAAAAAACTCATTTGCTTATGAGTTGCACTGTATTTTCTTAATTAAATTTACTGAGTAAAATGGTTTAAGTTCAGCCAACCAATGACCTTTGTATGTAGATTTAGATTTATAAATAGGTTAACAGTTAAAGTAAAATGGGGAAGGAAAAAGAATTGCAACAAAGCAAACAGATTAGAGCTAAGCCAATAGAAATCTTTGCTCTCTTTATCATCTTTGCAAAAGACACATTTAAATACAGGCAGCTTAAATCCAGTTTAAAAAAATATTGAAAAATGTGGACACACATAAGCACCAGCGATTCATCAAATGACTCTCACATCCTTTTCAGTCCCAAGAGGAGAGCTGCTCATATTGTAAAAGATTTGGAAAAGCTTTAGTTATTTTTTGAGAGTAGAAGTAGACAGGAGGGAGGGAGAAGATTTTATTTTATGTTAAATAAAAAAGTACATTTTAATTCCAAATACTGAAGACTTAGTAAATTGGTGGGACTTTTATTATGTAATAGGCAGAAAAAAAATGTCTTCAAAGTGGCTGCCGGTTAGGCATACATTTAAGTAACAGTAAACCAGGATTGTTTCATTGTAGGAATATTTCTGTGTCATCTTATTGATCTTTGTCTAATCATAATTCATGAACTGCTCTTGCCTTTGCAGTATTTGAGTATGCTGTATTTCACAATTTAAATAATAAACATATTTGGGTATATTTCTGTGTATAGGTATACAATCATTACAGCTGTCAATACACAACTGCATGATAAAAATCCTGTATTTTAACAAAAAGGACAGATGGTATTTTTACCTACAATATAACAAATATGACTTTTGTTGATGATAAAATAACTGTGGTGAAATTATAACCAATAAGAAGAAAAGTATACATTGTAGCCAGAAACAGAGCAGGACACAAACTCAGGAAGTGATTTTGGTGATCAAGTCCCTGACTTAGAATAACAATAGCAAGTAGCTTTAAGATTACAGTTCTATGAAAGATTATTGCTTTTTTAAATTCTTAATTTAGACATATTCTATGTTTCTTGGCATAACTGCAAATTGAAAATAAGCATTTTCAATAAAGCCAGTGATGTAGCTGAAGGAGGACTTTATAGTCTGAAATGTTCTAAAATTTGTTCTTAATTACCTTGTGCACATTTTACACAATTAAATTTCCATCTAAGGATTTTTTGCATTTAGATTGTGCATTGCAGTTAAATGTTCATTTCATAGAAATGTAGCAGTCACTTTGCAACATTCAGACATGGGCAAACTTTTTAAAAAATCAGACTTAACTACTGGATTACACAAAATTCCCTAGGCGAGATTTCATCCCAAGACCAATTTATACAGTCCTAGAGAAAAAAAACTTAAATCATCTGAAACTATGCTAGTGAGGAACCACAATAAATATTAAATACCTCAAAAAATCTACCCTAAGATTTTACTTTTCTCTTCATGTATCAATTTCAATGTCCTCTTACTGAATGGTTTAAAAAACAATCCAGAGGATAGAACAGCAATTTTCCAGTGTTAAAGTGCTCTGGAGGTTAAATTGACAACAAAAAACACAGAAAC